ATATATTTGTAACTCTCATTTGGTTTGGGGTTACACAGTATTGCCCATGCAATAATTCACTTGGTAGTCTAGTTCCATGTACACTACACACACACACACACACACACACACACACACACACACACATGCCTCTCAAAACAGTGTGCCTAGCAAGCTCAGAATCCCCTTGACCGCCCACAGGCATCAGGCTATACAAACTCACAACAATGTGTAAGTTTTCGTGCCCCTGGGAACAATCAAATTTTGAGAGAATTTACTCAACTATATTCGCAGTGTATCGGGATATGAAGAATCTGGAGCCATTATTTCCTGGACTGGTTTTAGGTCCATACCCAGTAAAACGCTACTGTATCCTCCAGCAGTATTCTCTGATTTACCGTCCTAAACCTAGATATGACTGGGTAAGCATATGATTAAAATCAGATGCGATCTGATAAAGGACACACTCAGTAGAGTAATGATTATACAACCTGATCTATCAATCAAAATAGAGAAGCACCTGAACTACACCCCTTTATGCCCAACTCGTCCTTCCCTTGAAGCTCATGAAAGGAGGTCGTAAACAATAAACAGCGACCTTGAGTAACGCTCAGGCCATCTGTTGTCAGTCTTGACAGTGCTCTCTTCTGTAAACTTGAAATATCACTTTTTCCAAATAAAGTTATCTTGCTTCTTTTATGAATCTATATATGCCCTTATTTTCAGTTCTTTGCATAGGAGGCACAATATGAGGAAAGACCTCTCCCAAACCCCAACCAACAGAAGCAAAATGTCTTGGGTAACAATGGACATGATGAGGGAAATATACTTAATGTTCACTATATAGTGGTTTGAATATTCCTTATGAAACTTAGTGCCATGTAAAATGAATATAGACAAAACAAAAAAATATTTTATTTATTGAGAAGTTGATTCATGAATATAATTTTTTTGAACAAATCTACTGCTTATTCCTCTCATACACTGTCCTAGTTTGTTCTCTCCATCGCTGTGACAAAACACTCTGACCAGTATCAACTTGGGGAGGAAAGGGTTTATTTAGCTTACATATCCCGGGTCACAGTTCATCCAGGAGCCCAAGGTAGGAACTCAGGGCAGGAACCTGGAGGCAGGAGCTGGAGCACAGGCCATGAAGGAATGCTGCATACTGGCTTGTTCCCCTGGCTCCAACACAGGCCCACCTGCCCAGGGGTGGCACTAGCCACAGAGGGCTGGGCCCTCCCACATCACTCAACAATTAAGAAAATGCCCCACAGACATAGTCGCAGGCCACTCCAATGGAGGCAATTCCCCAGTTGAGGCTCCCTCACTCCAGGTGTGTCAAGTTGACACTAAAGCTATCCAGCACATACACCAACAATGACTTCCTGTATTCCTTGTAAACCCTCATGAGTTCGTTAGCATGGCCAGTATGTGCATAGATGTAAGGCCATTCATAGAAATACAGGCAGCCTATCAGTGGCCACATCCCAATTAAACTTACCCCCACATACACAAAAACATCCATTGCCACTATCTGTTGAACGGGGAGTGAAATATTCTGAGTTCCTTCTCCAGCCATGTTTTGGCTGAGTTGATCTTGCATAGGTCTTGGAATGCAGTCATAGAAACTGTGTGCAACACCCCCATTATGACCAGAGAACAATCCCACAGCAGTTCTCCCCAACCTCTTGTTCCTATAATCTTTTGAATCCCTCTTCCACAATGACCCCTGAGTCTGGAGGGGACATAGTATGGTACAGATCCCATTTAGGGAGAAGTCTTTTATTCTCTGCTCCCCTTGACCAGGTAAATTTCTGTATTAACTGTCATCTACTGCAAAAAGAAGTATCTCTGATGAATGTTGATGGCGGCACTAATTATGAGTATAAAGCTAAGTATTTAAGGTGGCTAAGAGATGGTTCAGTGATTAAGACCACTAGCTACTCTTGCAAAGGACTGACATTCAATTCCCAGTTCCCACATGGCATTTAACAGCCATCCATAACTCCAGTTCCAGGGGATTCAAAGCCCTCTTCTGACATCCACAGGCATTGCATGACATGGGTGCACTTACATATATGCAGGTAATACCTCACACATAAAACAAAATTAATAAGTACTTTTAAAAGATAAATATTTAAGATATAGGTATATTTGATGCTGTGCTCGTTTAGCTGAATAAGGATAGTAGGCTCTTTCAATGGACCTATGACCCGGGCATGAGTTCTCTCAGTTAACAGCACCAGGTACGAGTTCCATGTTATGGAGTGATCCTTAAGTCTGATCAGGAATGGAACGATTACTCCTGAAACATTGATGCCACTACACAAATAGCAAATCTTGTCAAGCTCATCAATACTGTAACTTGAAATATTCACAGTTCTGTAAGATACAGTAAACAAATGGCAAACACATCTTGTGAACATTTCTTATTCAAAAAGCTCAAAATACTATAATGTATGTGGATAGTGCAAGCAGTATTAAAAGAAAACACTTCGTACAACAGAATTATATTTAATTCCAAGTATGAATCCTGTCATTATTTTTAATTCTTTTTAAAAACTTTAAAAATGTAATGTCAAGTTCTAAGCATTTTCTAAGAAGCTAAACCACATCACTATGAATATTCAAAACATTTTAAGTATTTATTCCTTCTTTCTACAAATATTTTAATACCAATTTTACATATTTCTTAGCTCTTCCTCAACTTATGTGTGAAATTCAGATATATTTCGTGGGGAAATCATTTTTGAACTATAAACCCATAAGTAATAGATAGGATGAAAACTAAATTGTCATGTTGTGGAAGAAAACAGAGCTGTGCTTTTGCAATATTTTAATGTCATAACATAAAGGATGGTGATCAGGAACTGTGAGAAAAAAGGGCTTTTAGGATTCTCAGTTTCAGGTGTTATGGACAAGCATTTGGAATTAGTTTACTTAG